TTTTCTGGTTGGACCTCCCTCCCCCCTACAGGTTGAGAAATGCGTCCCATAAAATTGTTTTTTTTTTGCTATATTATCCATAATTCTGACAACTGAGCTGGTTTCCCATCGCTCGAGGTCTTAGACAACTTAGCTGGTTTCCCATCGATCGAGGTCTTAGCTAACGGGTCCTATTTTGGCGGAACTGAGGAGCACCACCGAACCCGATAGAGTAGTCTCGCAGACTATAGTTTAGAGTTTATTGTTCTAGATGAATTCTTAACCTAAACGTGTGTAATACCTTGCCCAGGTGATCTTCTAAGCATAGGTCGGTGTGGTCTGAAACCATCATCATGAAGTGGAGGTTAGATGGATTCTCCTCCAACTAGACTAGTGTTCAGACCATGGTTCCGCACTTATGTAGATTCTGCTGGCAGTGCTACTTGTTTCCATGGCGGGGGGACAAAGTATGTGGAGAGGATATTCCGTTAATTGGACAGAAGCAACAGAAAACTGTTCGGAGAGACAGTAAGAGCAGAAAGACCACGTAACATAACACAGAGGACAAACGCTTTTTTGGTTGTTGATCACTTGGGTGCTTGTCTGTTTTTTAGGCGTGGTAGGTGGCTTGCAGGCATTTCGTCACCTGTTGCGAAGACATCAGCCGTTCTGGACATTGTCGCAGGCGGTCCGGTGTTGAAGAATGCCGGTTACCCTTTAGACGACTCAGATTCGTTTGCTTATAGAATGACAGGGGCTATGCGCTCTGATGCGAGTACACATGTGGTTGTGGCGTTAATATTAACCTGAACTTGACTGTATCCCTTCGTGGATGAAAAGCGGTTAAAAAAGTGGAAAGGAATGGCCCAGCTAAGACCCGACGTCCATTTTAAAGCAGAAGCCAACTTAATGATCTATTGAAGTTGTATACAAGGTGATACTCAAATAGTTAATAAAGCCAAACGAACTTTGGGTACACACCTGTATGCGGAGCTCTAAACATCCCAAAATTGGTGATGGGTTGTCAGCGGATTTATACCTATACTATACTATACTATACTATACCTATACTACTAAAAGAGGAAATAAAGGCCACTATAGGTTAATATTTACACCAGAATTGAGACTTCATTAACGTGCGATACGAATGAACACCTTAATTAGGATATTCTCCAATCGAACATGTTGTACGAAGGCCAGTTGATGGTTCAGCGGGTCCAAGATATTTTTGTCCTTGATACAACACTACTCATAAGGGATTCGCCTACCTCATAAGCAGGATCACTTGAGAGACATAAAGCCTATTTTCATCTTTTTGATGCTGAGGAGGCTTTCAGGTGTAATATGATTTTTCTTCACAGCTTCGATAGATCTAGGGAGAAAATCACTGCACAGCAGTTTCATCGTTATCGGTATTTATCAGTAGTGTATACACACCGAAATTTCGGCATGCGGTTCTTGTCATGACTTTCGCTCTCCCAACCTTCATCTTTACAGAGGGACTGGATTCTTACATAAACAACACCTTTGGCTATGCCGTTTTTGGAGGTAGTCTGACTTCAGTCCCTGCGTACGTACGAATCAAGTTACCGATCGGTCCTCCAAATGGCATAATCAGAGGGTCCGGTAGAAACCAGAGCTTTGCCAAACTGACCGACCAGTTTTCTCAGTTTGACACTTCACCGGGGTGGAGAGCATCATAGAGCAACGAGAGGAAAAACGACCTGGTAACTAACACAAAATGAGCAACATTGGACATCCAACATTTATGGCTGTTGCGAATGATCACGACCAGTCCAACAGCACTCACTTCTCCCTTGGATCAGTTCATTTGTAAAGAATCCACCCCGGGTGAACGCAAATGTTATGAACCTGTAGATTTGTTGTGCACATAGCATAAAAACAGAATTACTCGTTTTTTATTGTAGGTGAACAACTGATACTTTGTGGCCACGTGGTTTAGCCAGACCGAAGTTGGGTGTCATTTTGCGATGCCCCTCAACTTCTTTCTCCGTGTTGCTTCGTTACTGTGACAACAGGCAATCAATCTGGCTGTCTGAAAAAAAAGTGGAACACTGCCAACATTAGCTGTACTACGCCTAGAGGTGAAAAACAGCCTGGGGTGCTTCCCTTCGCGTCCAAGGGGTAATCACGTTCTTGCTAATCGGATTTGTGACAGTCACGTGAGCTTGGCACAATTTAAGCGAGAAAACGCAAACTGATCGATGGATGAATAAGGCGAAATTCGGACGATCAGGTGGAACGTGCCAGCAGAGAGGAAGACTTTGAAAACTTAGGTGATGATTGTGACCCAAGATACGACAAGCAAGACCTTCCTTTTCTGTGACTGGAGAAACGGGTAGTTAGGAGACAGTAACTTTGTGTAGGGATTGAAAAGACTCAGATGAATAAATTCAGGGGAAGGGAGGTCAAGAAGCCCAACTCCAAAGTGGTGTTTGGGAACAACTGGTGGAGACACATTTTTGAGAGATGTTTTCGAACACACGCCCGCTTAGGAGGGGTGCCCTTAGAGATGGTCACAGTGTATCGCCGGGAAACTCCACTCTACTCAGTGGACAATAACGAAATTTTCCCTTCGAAAAACCACTGAACAAGGGGCGGGGGTAAAATAAAGTAACACGTTTGTGTGGTGCTGATTCGAAGCCAGTCATCACACAAGATCTGGGTAGTCTTGGCACGTCAGTTCTCAGACGACGATGATGACACCCAATGGGATTCCGGCAGCCTGCATTATCTCGGGTATATGAAAGTGTCACATTTCTACGTTTGAACAGTTGGTGCTTGACCTTCACTATTAATTCCCCCTAGTTATCCGTTTTTTTTCATGGCTTTGCATTGACCACCGAATGTTGTTGAAGCCCCCTACTTTGTGAATTTGGTTGTTGAAATGGCAGAGTTTCGACCATTTCATTCAAGTGGTCATTGAGCCCAAAGCGGACCAAATGACCTGGGAATGAAGAACTGGGTTATCAAATCTGAATAGCTGAAAGCGGTCATTCGTGAGCGGTGTGATTGTCTTGCCGGACAAGATATTGTCCTGGTTGTTCCGATCAGCTGATTCGCGTATCAAGACTTTTACAACTACACCCGCAGGGCAAACAGATGACAAATTAGGCCTCCATACCTAATGTTCATACGAGTGCCTTCTATGCCACTCAAATGAGGTACGCTATGTCCAAAAGGATAGGGTACGCATGAGGTCAGCCCCAGATTCACTCTTTGTTTCATGCATAAATTCGAAAACCAAGAACTGTTGGAAGACACTTCAGAATTCACCCGTTGTCACGGACAAGTTGGTGATTTACTCAGTTTGTTGTTGAAACGGGCAACTTTCTCTTCCTTCTCTCCACTCAGTACTCATAGCACAGCTCTCAATTTCACTGTGTGAAGGCAAGTGAATGTACTACTGACCAAGAGAACTTTTAGCTGCATTCAACATAGTGTTGGTCACAGGATTGCATAAAGACTTCCACGGTTTTGTACCTGTACACCAAAAGACCTCGTTTACTGTTTGGCTTCATGAGCCTTAAACGGGTCCTCATTTGGAGGAAACGGTTAGATGATATTAGAAGCATTTCTAAGGAAGCTGACTACCACGATCGGCTTACATGGAACAATTCGCAGAGCAGAAGCCAAACAATTGTAGTGGTAACGGTCTAATGTGAACAATTTTTCTTTCCAAGGGTGACTTGGTAGCCGGTTTGTGAAACCAGTCAACATTGTCAGACTTTGATGCGCATCCTCAGACTGTAAGATGAGGGCAACCTGCCCGTACTGACATCTTTTATCTCTATTTCTTAGCTCATGTCCGGTGTTTCTAAGGTACCAACTAGGCAAGCCGTATAACGCGGCATTTTCTAAGCCTCAAGTGGCTCCTGAAATTAAGACAAAATCCGGACTTTTATCTTTTCCCACCTGGTCGACTCTGGACAGCACCATATTTCGGTTGATGTACGAAGCTTTAAGGAACCGGACCGATGCGGTCAGTCCACGTACGTGGCGATTACCATCGGCTTTTTCACACCATATTTTTATGCGTACACGACGTTCGATCCCTTCTGATGAGCTGTCCTAGCGGCGTTCATCACAGCCGAGGTCCTTTCTACCACATAACTCTTGGAGCAGAAGTGGTAAATGGCCTTTGCCTCCATTAGCGCAAATACCTCTTCATTCTCCACGTCTAATTTGTAGTAAATGGTTGGCTTTTGTTACGGTTAGTCCTATGTATGACGTGCGTTGTACAATGTCCGTGTGGAAAAATTTCAGCAACTTAAGCATCAAGATGCAGTGTCACTTGAGACTGGACACACACTTCAATTGCACTGAAATCATTCTGTAAAATACTATTAGGGATGTTACATCTAATAAGGTCGGAGAATCACCTTGGAACATTTATTATCCGTACTTTTTTCCTCTCTGAACTTTGTCTACAGAATCGTTTTGAGTGAGTTCTGGCAAAAACCAAACATCCGCATCACGTGACTCGCTAGTTCACCATTTTTATCACTCGGATCATTGTTTATTGATTCTATGTTAGGTGTTGACTGCTTTGTTCAGTTCTATTTGTTCTATATGTGGTTCAGAGAGAGAGAGAGAGTGAGAGCAAGTGCATTCTAAAGGTTGCTCTCGCTCACTTCGATGCTGTATTCCGGGATGTAAGAGTGCTTCTTGATAGCATTTCAACATACTAATTTGGATTTGACAGACAGTGTTATATCTGCTGATTTGCCAATCTGGTATCTGCTGCTGACCCGCTCCAGGGCCTGGTTGCCGGAAAAAAGACTCACAGAAAGGAACACAACAGCTATATTCCGAGCAAGCGAGCGCGAGAGCGAAAGTTACAACGGCCCCACGCTATTTAAAGGGGACTTTCTGACATTGATCCAGGCTGTCTGATAGGCGTTTGTGAACACCCAGTTTGTGAACACCCATCATCATCGATCGTGCCTCTATGAAAAGCCTGAACGCTGGTCATATTCGGTCGTGCTTCTGTGGCGTGCTTAAACCCTAATCGGCTTTTGTTGATTTGATTGAATGACTGACTGGCCTGGATGCTTGCTGGCTTTCCTATCGAGATTTTGATGGAGTTTTAGGGTCTCAGTAGGTTCCGGGCGTTTTGGGGTTACTTTCAGGAATCTGACCTTCCTGAGAGACAGATGGTCCGGTCTATACAAGTGAACTTACCTTCTGTAAGGTTTTGTCAAAGCTTAAACAGATAGATGCCTGGAACCTGTTGGATTCGTCATCCTCACTTTTGATCTACGGTATGAGCTTTGGTGTCACCATTGAGTATGAGCTGTACTTTAACAGTACTGTGGAGTGATGTCCAGACGATTGATCTTTCAATCATGTCAGTAAACTCGTGAACAAAGAGACCGTATCAACATACGTTCAACCACATTACCTCTGTTTCGCCGGCAGATCTAAACACCGTTCAACTCCGTTGACCTCGAGTTTATCTCTTCCGATTTTTCAGGCACTGGTGATCATGCTTTAACTGCAATCCCAAACACCGTCATGTCCAGTGAAGATCCATCTCGAACTGGTGCTTCGAGAAGGTCGTGTTCCCCGCAGACTTTTCGAACTCAGCAAGACCTTAAACCCGAACAGCTCACCCAAGGTAGCATATCTTCTCCTGGACCGTTTTCGGCTTCCGTAGATGGGCTAACTCAGCCTCACACAGACTACTTAGCTCGCTGTAAAACAGGACAATTCCATAAAGGTAGTATGTTTATGACAACGGGCGACAAGGTAATACCTTCTACTCCGGGTGAGGGTCATCTCCGGCTTCTTGAGAAAACGCTGAACATGGGTGTGGCTAAACTGGAAAATGAGTGTAGAACGCAGTGCAGCCTGCTTGCAGATTCCGCAACTGATCGAAATCCCCCGGTTCCAATGAGCTCACCGTACATCACTGTTATGGGCGAAGCAGTTAGCTGGCGTCACTGGACTACAGAAAATCATGGATCTAAGGACGGGGAGTTGGTCCATAATGGTCAGAACGCAGTCGGCTTCGAACGACAAAAGGATACAATGGATGTCGGTAAAAGCCGTCGAATTTCACAGAGTCCTTTAACTGAGATCGACACCATGTCCGATGGACCACTTTTGAAAAGGCGGAACCTAGCAAAACATGACCAGTTGGGGGTAGACAACGAAGAAGAGGATGAAGAGGAAATCTTAGCCCAACTGGAAACTGACGCAGAATACGGCGAGTTCGTCTCGGATAACTATAATGACCTTGAAAGACATGAGTTAAACCGTAGTCTCAAGTCAGATAACCTTGAATGTGAATTGGGCATGGAATTTATGAGCCAGTCGCCTGATAATTTCACGCATCTGTTTGGTCGGCATCGACAACAGCATTCGTGTGTCAACAACCACAACAGATACCACGCACAATCATCTCCACCACTCCTGACGGCCTGCGACCTCCCAGCAAGTGAGGGTTCTTCTCAAGCAAGTGTTGGCAGCGACAGTGGGACCGGCCAGTGTATGGGCGGACAATTGAGTGGCTGTGGTACGGGAGCAGGCACAAAACGTCGCGGGCCAAGGACCACAATCAAAGCGAAGCAGCTGGAAACTTTGAAAGCTGCGTTTGCCGCTACTCCGAAGCCCACAAGACATGTGCGTGAGACGCTGGCCCAGGAGACCGGTTTGTCTATGCGTGTGATTCAGGTGAGTTCCCATACCGCCTATTCTAATCCATTTGTTTTTGATAAACTATTGACAATTACCTCACGTGTGGTAACAATTAGGACAGGTGTAAACTCGTTTGAGGTTGATGAAATTTACTGCTAGTACACATGAATACCTTTTAAAATCAAGCCCCATCAGAAACGGATAATAGTGTTCCATCCTTTAGGAGACATGAACTTCTGCTCAGTTTACAACGGTATCCCGTCCTGTTTTTCCAGAAATTTACGACTGATGGCTAGCGTCGCTAGCAACATTGTGAGCACCACACAAATTCAGCCGTTTTTTAACGAGGAATCCTCACAATAGAGAATGATTCCTATGGTTCTAATTTATGACTGCTACACCTGTTGTGGAGGTACGAACAAGCTGGAGAGAGCACTCTACTGACGGACGTGTTACAAGTGATAATGATCACTCTGACTGGTCAGTAGACAGCGCTCAACCGAAAGATGAATGGAATAACCTTGAGTCGTATACTTTAATATTTTAATGAGAATGCACATATGCTTGCGTGCATCTAACAGGTGGAAATGAGGATCAGCTTTCATGTCGTAAGTAAACTTTCGAGGGTTACGGGATCGCCCATAGGCAGTGCCGGTCGGTGTGATAATTGGAGAACTGCGCGACGGTTGAACCAGGTGACCACTGGCGGATAAAAATACTCATCGGCTGAACATTGGATTTAAGATGCACACTGACGCCCATAAGGAATTTCGCTCTACCTAGTGGATGGATTGGAGTTGCGTAACTTCTGGATAGCGTGCACAATCACTTCATGGTTTACTGATGGGTCAGTGATGTCTTCTCTCTCTCTCTCTATGACTTTTTTCCGGTTTTCTTCCGTAGGTGTTAGTGAGTAGCGTATTATTTTCTTTAGTGAAATTCTAGCTGCCTCACTGATACGGTTCCTGCCATTCATTCAAGGTTCTGTCATTCACGGAACCCTCATAATTCGAACGTGCTGCGCTATGGAGTGTCCGACCGAAAAGTAATGTACGCGAATAAGTTCGCGGTGACCCAAACTGGTAGTTTGCGAGGTCACGGAATTTTATTTAAGCTTTGGATGCTTAGACGGCGCATTCCTCATAGACCACACTGTTTTTGCAACGAGAAAAAAACGGAGTCAGGCTTTCCGGTTCCTTGATTTTGGACGTTCGTTCTCATGCACCTCCATACTTAGTTGACATCATCGTATTTGGCCGGCTTATCCACCTTTATTACATGTAGTTCCGAAAGTCACAGTCGATCCTTTGAAATGCAACTCCTAGTTGCGCACCTGTCCGAGAAACAAAAGAGGTACTTAGCGAAACACACCCATTTGCAAACAAATTCGGCTATTCGGGAGACTCACATGGAACGCAGTTGGATCTCTCATTTATGGTGTATTCAAGCAATTCAATGTGCTGCACCAGGTCTCCTCATGTTCCAGTTGGTACGATATTCAACATATCGCAGTATATTTTCATGAACGAATCTACTCACAAGGTTGCTGAAAACTCTTCAACAGCCCACGACCGGTTTTGCCCTTCTGTTTCGGGCTCATCAGGTAGGCGCGGTTTCTGCGTTAAACCTTGCGAGAACCGGAAGTGTGAAAATGTTTACCATCTCTAGACATACTCAGCCACGAACGATCAGCTACATTTGTGGAGCAACGGCCGTCAAGATGAAACACGAACAAGCAGATTTCTTAAGCCGCAAGTTTAGGACTAACATTCAGTTCGACCCTCCCTTAAGCATCTGTTTCAGCATCAAGGGCACTCGCTGCCTTTTTTACCAGGCCAACTGTCTTGGCTATTCGCATCTTTCTATAACCCATCAACATTACCGACTAGAAACCGGAAACTAGATATCAGGAACGGTTTGATGAATTAGTAGTCTCTAGTGGAAAAAAAGGTTACCCGTCGGTCTTACTTTCTACTGATTTATCCCTGAGGGTTCTGGATCAAGCCTGTATGTCTTCATACAATCAGAGTTTGCGATATCCGACCAGGTCTAACTTCCCTCAGCCCTCTAAGCCAACTGTGACCTCATGTCTATCGCTACCCGTGTGTCAGCAGAGATATATCCTTGGCAAACCGCACGTGGCCAATATGCTAATGAGAACAACTCACCAGTTCGCGAGCCGAGGGTTAAGCTTCAGTTCACGGGAACTTCGATAGCTTGTGGTCATGGTTGAATGGGACGACAGTGACGACCTTCATTATGCATTATTCGATAGATTGTCGTCAACTCACTCCGCGGATAGTTCGCATTTCCAGTTCCGCGTCCGCCTCCCATTTCGCGCCCACACAGAAATCTGACTGTGTCCAATTTAGTAAGCCACATGGCCTGTAAATCGATCAGTGAAAACTCAAGTCTTGAGTATCTATGGTTGCCTCACCCTCTCCACTCACTAGACTTCACACACCCGTCCAGTAGGACAAGACAAATGGGAAAACCTGGCAACAAACGGTTGTTCAACCCGGCAGTTTCTGACCTATGATTCAAGGATGATAAAAGCTGTCAGATTTTTAATGGAACTGCCCAAAGCCAATCCTTTCAGCCGTCTCGTCTGCTAATACACTGGGGAGTATAACTTACACCGTCCCTTGAGATGGCTGTGGTACAACCCGGCCCTGTTCGCTCCTTCTCACTGCTTCTTGTTCTGTCTGCGTAACGGTCTCTCGCCCTCCGGTTGCTGTCACTTCGTCCATTTAACCTTCGTTGTTGACGTTGTCTTGGGAAAAGAACAAAACACGGTAGGGAAACAACTGAAAGGTGGAGGGGTGGTGATTCTAGTCGTAATTTGAGTGAGAGAACGACTATAAGTCTTCGATCAGATTTACAGACAGATGGCAGTGACGTCTGGGATGAAATTTCACCGAGCAAGTCGCCCGAGTGTTTTTCAATTCAACTGGTCAACAATGGGAGGTTTGTTGAAAACAGTGAAAACGATTTTAGAAGCTGCTCACTCGCTTGAAAATTAGACTGTTGTTGAAGAAACACTCAACTAGATGTGGGTGAAATCACTCGCGTTTTGTAATATTCTTCTTAGTTTAGTTTAGAGTTCATGTAGGAAATGATTGTGACATCACCCGGGTGACTTGTTTATCTGATAAGCACCAAGAAGGCCAAAACTGGCAGTGGGCTGTCGAAAGGTTTTCAGCAACATTATGGGTAGTGCATTCTCTATAAACGATTTGCTACGATATGTCGATTGTTGTCCCACATGAAGCAGCCTTAAGGATAAGCAAGGGATTTGGCTGTATTCAAAAACCACATTCTAATGCAAATGAATGCAGTCCGCGAATTGTATTCAGTTTATGTTCGAGTAGAACATAAGGCTAGCTGGACCTCGGGGGTTTCAGGTAAGCCTTTTATACTCCTGTGCTCAAGGCATCCCCCCACTGTATTTCCATAAGTTTGTTCGATGAATCAGTCAATTTTGTGTTCCTGGTAGCTGAACTTCTCAGAACTGAGGCCTTGAACTGGATCTCGAATTGTTAACTGATGTCTAGCTCAGTAATTTTAAGGGATACTTGTTACTACAAATGCACTCATTTGCAAATCAATTCGGTTTTCACGGGAGACTCGAGTGGATTTCTCGTTTTTGTTGTTCTCAACTGAATGTGCTGCACACAGGCCGCCTCAGTCGGTAAGATATTCGAGATATCGCATTATATTTTCATAATGGAAACTGCTCATGGAAACTGTCACAAGGTTGTAACACATTCAGTTGAAGAACAGCATAAAATAGGGATTAACTTGAGTCACCCGTGAAAACCAAGTTGATTTGCAAATGAATGTATTTGTCGCAATCAGTCCAATTTGGGTCCAAGCAGAACATAAGGTTGACGTAAACTCGGGGACTACGCCTACCTGATGAGCCCGGAACAGGAGGGCGAAACTGGTCGTGGGCTGTCGAAGAGTTTTAAGCAACCTTGTGAGTAGTTTCCTTTATAAAAAAGATACTTGCTACTGTTTCTCAAGCACAGCCGTAGCATTCATTTTGACATGGGATTTGCAAAAACGGCTTTTCAATTTGGAGGATCAAGAAGTCCTTTTCTCGGAAGTATACACCTTTCAAAGGCAGTTTTTCTCTTGTACTGCGAGCAGGTTTGAGACCGGAAAACCTTTGCTATCTTCTTGAAAGCATTACTGCACTTTCTGTGGGTTGTTGGACCCCATGAAGTTGACGACTACCGGGTGTAGTAGTAGACTGACATTAAGTTACCCGACAGTTCTTCAAAACTATCCTACTGAAGGAAACTTCTCATATAAGCGACTTCACTAAAAACGTAAAGTCTATAGCATTGTGTGCACCGGCAGGCTCCAAGGAGTTGTATTCACTCAGTATTCCAGCTTCCTATACTAGTAAGAACCATGCTCCCTGTGATGCTCATTTGTAGCGCCCTTCTCATTCAGATGCCGTCTGACTCCGCACATAACGATTCGGGCTTGATTTCGGATCTCTGCCAACTTCACTTAAGTTATACTCGAAGGTGAAGACATACATGCTCACCACCGGGATGTACAAAAAAGTGATTTGCACGTTCTTTTGGGGGGCTGAAAGTGCGCCCGATTTTTTAACTTTGCTTCACTAGTACATCAACAGGCCTCTTGTCGGATAGCCGGTTGCAGCCTGCAGCTTTAAGGCACAGGCCTAAAGGCAGAACGTATCAATCAGTATGAACCTAGATACCCCTAATCCCCCATTGTGCAGCCCAAGTGCACTTAAACGCCCCAACTGAGCCAACTGACGCCACGTGGAGAGAAATCTGGGCTGTGTTTTAGCCAGTTCCGCGTGCCACCGATCGAACTGTTCCCAAGATGCCGGAATGGTAGACCGCACACGGTAAGCAAACCACTACGCGCTCCAGTGGAGAAATACTGAGTGAAGAAAACGCAAGGTGCAGGCTCAACATTTACCCTCTGGAAGCACTTTCCAATTCAATGGCCATCCAGAGGTGGCAAACCCTGTGATGGAATAAAACCTCATTTATGAGGCATTCCATTGTTAAATGTAAAACCTCAAGGTACCTTTCCGTGCCAATACTTAGCTCCCTGAAGGCCATACTTAGCCCAAATTTGAAGAGTGATAGGTCAAGTTAACCCTAGGTTTTCCTCCCCAAAGGGAATCAGCACGACCGTTTCACAGCAGCTTTTCCATGGTAGCCTAGATTTGTGGTACTTACCAAGGTGAAATCCTGCTTGTAGTCTTTCAATTGTTCCGTAGTACAGTGTCGTCGAACGCTGTTAGACCAACAGTATGGCGATGCCTCAAGCAGTATCTGTACGCAAAATGGGTGTCAACCACCTTGATGGCTTCACGCATGTATAAACAAAAGTTTGATGTAGTGTGGCCTCCGTCTTGAAGGGATATATCCATCCTTTCACCTCTCCAGTACGTCGGACATTTTTCTTCGTGAAAACAAGTGAAAAGCCAAGATTAGCCTACCGTTTTTGTGTGAAAACGTGGAACTAAAAAACACGGAAATTCCCTTATCCACCCGTCATCGTTGGAATCATTCCGTCGTTCACATACAATCCGATCAAATCCTAACCAAAAAACTTTGGGAAGCTTTCTAGTTTGTTTCGGACACTTCTCCATACAACATTGGACGAAAATTGGCCAACTGCTCCGTCTGTTTCTCCGTTTTCCCCACGTACAGTCTCTAGGGGCTAATTTTATTTACACTTTGAGGTGAAACATTCCCTGATCACTTTATACTTACGCGCTGTGCGCTCTCACACGCACACACACAAACACGCACACGGGAAACAAGCTCGCAGAATTGTTTCGGAAGCAACTCGAAATCACACAAACACTATGATAAACAAATAAAAAACGTCAAGAACCTGTGTTCAGGTGCGCTTGATGTCTGTGTGCTTGTGTTGTCCGTACAATTCGAGTAGCGACAGACACAAGTCGAGTAGTAGTTTCATGGCTGGCCAAGACAGGCCAGACCCATCTGACGCGCCGCCGCCGCGGGCGAAATACTAACTACTTCGTCTATAACATTAGTTGCAACTCCTTTGTGTTATAAAAATCGAATTTAAGCCCAAGTGTAGGCGGGAGGGGAGGATGTATACACAAAACCAATTTCAACTACCGACGTGGGTCGAGGACAGACAAATGTTGAATGATGATAACAAGATCTTGTTTGTAAACCATTTAGTGTAGTAAAGCTCCTGTTCCAATGTGAAAGGGATTCTTACAAGAAGAAATATATCACCTTGAAAGGGAGGATAAACAGAAAGCTGAGATGGGCTTATCGGCATGAAGAAAGCTTTCAGGTTCATAGATACTCTACTCGAACAAAATATATCTTCCCTCGTCTTCAAAAAGGACATTCGAATAGAGTGTGAGAAACACCTTCGTATCAGCCTGTATATATAAAGGTTTATTTTGGCTCTATCCTGTGTAGGTGTTTGGAGCGCTAGGAGAGAGATCCTTCAGAATTCTTTTGGATCCGGCTTGGCAGAAGAGTGCGTAGGCACGTGTGACACATGAGGTGAATGCACGAATCTGCAAGGCTCGGGCCGCGTTTGCTAATTTAAGATATGGCTGCCAACCGATGTCAGTGGCGTTCTTGTTGTCAGTTTCTATCCAGATTGCCTGTGTGAATGTCTGGAGGTGTAGGCACCTCGGAATGATTGTGTTAAGCTAGCACTTAGTCCTTCCCCCATCCACCTTTATTCTTTTCTTTACAATAAGACTTTCAAATAAATCCTGGTTGTACGGCAGTGAAGCATCAGTGTTGAACGCTGATGTCATGCCGTCGATGATGATGATGATGATGATGATGATGATGATGATGGTGATGATGATGATGATGATGATGATGATGATGATGATGATGATGGTGATGATGATGATGATGATGATGATGATGATGATGATGATGATGGTGATGATGATGATGATGATGATGATGATGATGATGATGATGATGGTGATGATGATGATGATGATGATGATGATGATGATGATGATGATGGTGATGATGATGATGATGATGATGATGATGATGATGATGATGATGGTGATGATGATGATGATGATGATGATGATGATGATGATGATGATGGTGATGATGATGATGATGATGATGATGATGATGATGATGATGATGGTGATGATGATGATGATGATGATGATGATGATGATGATGATGATGGTGATGATGATGATGATGATGATGATGATGATGATGATGATGATGGTGATGATGATGATGATGATGATGATGATGATGATGATGATGATGGTGATGATGATGATGATGATGATGATGATGATGATGATGATGATGATGATGATGATGATGATGATGATGATGATGATGCGTAGGCACACTCTGGCGACTGCTAAACAGTATCACGATTAACGCTGCTCAGTTCGTTCGAGTTAGAAGCCGCCCGGTTGATCATCGGGTATTGTAGAGGTGTTCAGCGAACAATTGTATAGCTAGAATTCTGGTCTTACCAAAGCTTTGTATGCCAGACCTTGCTGTACACTCTCTGGTTCCTATCCCCAGGATGTTTGAGTCCTGTCATGGAGTTCGCGGACGATATAGCTGTTCTTGGACCTAACCATACGCAGGTGCAGGTAGTATTAAATAACCGAAATAAGTCCACGGGATGACTTGGTATGTAATTCATACCCGCAATGTTTAGACGGCTGCTGCAATACCGGTCGGGACAGACACCCTCAAAATGTCTGCAAATCAGCCGATTGACCTCGTCGTCCAGTTCATCCACCTAAGCGATTATCAAACCAGAGGTGATGTGATATTTCCAACTGGGATGGCTATGGTAGCCTCAAGGGTAGAGTCTGCAGTGGTGAAGTTGACTTTGTACTTCTGAATGTCACAGGAACCAAGCCTTCGCAGCAGCAAGAAGTTACTCTGCATTACCCAGGCACATTCCAACCTGTACGAGCTCATAACGGTACTACAGCGTTTCGGGTTGTAATCTTTAGTAGGCATTACTCTCATCCTTTGCGTGTTGAAGAGCAAGACTATGGCAGGTGAACTCGTTGCACGATGTGCACACAATTTCTAGGTGACGATGAGGTCATCATCAGACTAAACAACACTGGAGTTGAAGAGTGACAAAAAATGCAGCGCCCAGTTAGTCCATTGCATCCTGTATATGTCCATCACAGGAAATTTTGTAATCCAGGGTCGTTAAGCAAAGCTCGGTACGGATAAGGATGGGAACTTAACTGAAACTGGAAGCGGTATCGCAACGGACACCCCCGAATTCTCTCTGGTAGCTCCCCAGTTTGCCAGCCACGACTCCCTAGGAATCGAACCTCCCTCTTTGTCTACTATAATCGTTCAGCCGTAGCACCCTTTCAGTGCCTAGCTGCCATGCCACCTGATGGGAGCATGAGGGCACAGATACTGCCAGGTTGCCCAAGCCTAGACAGCGGAAGTCGACAGGCTGAGGTCGGGTTCGAACCATGTACCTTCCGGTCATCGCGCTCTAACCACTGAGCTATCTCACCCTCACCTCTTTGTCTACTGATCTCGAATAATTCAATATCATGTTCCCTAGTGGAACCATTCACTTATATGGTGAAGAGACAAGTCGTCGCAAAGATGGGCTTTGCCGTAGCCTGACCACCAGTGTACTTCTCTGAGTCGCTGTGCTATGCATTGAGATTTTATCGTGACACCGAAAAAGCGAGTTTTGTGTAAGTTAAGCGCAGATTCAGACGGAGAATTAGGGGTGCTTTAGGATTTTGTGTAAAAAACGACGGCGATCGCAGGGCTGCCCAACTCTGAAGAAGGAAGGGTCATCAGAGGGAGAAAGTTTGATATGGATGTGATTGGATTTTTTTGCGCCCCTTCATTTCTAGTTCGTTTAGTTGTGTGACGTGCGGAAATGTGGTACCCGCAGCTGAAACACGCAGAGAATGGATTCGAACTCCAATCCGACTAGAAGGTCCATGTACACGACTCTGGATGCCTCATACAAGGCCTATGGTAAAATGTGGTCGGTCCCCTAAACAGCTACCTGACAGAGTTCATAAACGTAACGGAGTGAAGGTGAGTGTACAAGTATGGGTGAAATTTCGCCAGCTCAGGCTCAACTGATATCGTTTCTAAGCCCCCCGAGGAAATGCGAGAAGTGGTGTCTGATGTGGTAGCAGGGGTTATAACTGATGCATACAGAATCGTGAAACGTCTTCGGTTTGTGTGGCAAAGACACTGTGGACGCTGAATTTTATCATTCAGGTGATGGTATTGCGTGTTGGGAGGCCAGCCGTTCTTGTCAACGACATTTTCGTCTATTTCCGTCTCTGCACGACGGGGTATCATGTCAGCGCCAGAGACTCTAATACTCACGGGTCAATCGAACGAGCGAATGATGCTGACTAAAGTGCGCAGTCCTGTCCGCACGTGATTGTTGTCTGAGTAGCATAGTCACCCTTTTCCCGAAAGGTTGATTCATTATAGCTGACGGTCATTGGCCATATGCATTTCACGAGTCTCCCAGGGTCATTGACGAGTCGCGGAAGTTCAGGATACGAGTTTGGATAGTACTGTTCAACTATGAATGGCTGACCATCGGTTTAAGTGAACGGTGCTAAACGAGAGCATAGCGAATGTAAGTTAAACAAGAAGACTGACCAAATACATCCAGTTGTAAGCAATGTGATGTTCACGGAAGACTCAGATGGGACCCAGCCGAATCTCTGTGTATCACGTTCTTCAACTAAATATAAGGCACCAAGCCGCCTCATGTTTCACGATATTCAAGATGTCGCGGTACGTTGCATAGATGTAACGCATTATTCATAAGATTGCTTAACGTTCCACGAATGGTTTTACCCTTTCGTTACGGGCTCATCAGGTTGGTGAAGTCCCCGATTTTCTGTCGAGTTTCGTGCAGTTTGGAAACAAGTAGTAGTGAGTTGCGTCTAGGTTATAGTGATATTCATCTCCCGACCATTATAATACACCGGCCTTGCAGACTTTCGAGTAATTACTATTTTTTGTACGCGACATTCAGACGACTTACAACATAATATGCATGAACGCGGTAGTTGAGATAGAATGTCATTTGAAAGTAGCGAGAAACAAAGGTTCGTTTTAAGTTGAGTAATAAGCGTTACACGGGTGTTGAGGAGCAGAGGTTGTTGAAAGCCAGGAAGGACAGGGAAGCAAAACTCTCATCTGCATCTTGTTTACAAAAACTAAATATCCATCTTCTCCCTTAACGTGTCTTCCTGAACTTTCCCGGACATTCATTGACTGTTGCTCAAAAGCAAGCAGATTCGGTTGACTCCACTGATTCGGTAATAGATCTCACTTTTCAAGAGATGCAAAGCGGATTTACAGAAAAACATGTTACTCGCATGCCCCATCAGTAGTATCCTCCATTACACCTTGACAAATGCAAG